TTTTTTTGCAGTGTATTATAAAACTGGCTGTCAAAGACATTTGAAGGCATCTTGCAATTTTCATGGAAAACTCAGGAAAATCCGTTCTGTTTGAAAACTTTTTTCTTTTGGTCCGTTTGATTTACCTATCCACTTTAAGAACCTTCTCTAGTTCCCGAAAGCAAAGAAAAGTAGGATTTTAACAGCTTCCTGTGGTCGCAATTTAGTATTTTATGATGGGGTTTGGTTCCATCGTAAGAAGTGTTGAAGGCCAATAGTGATCAGATTTCCATTATGTTTACTGAATTTGAGTGCTCAGTCAGATGTAACTTATGTTTTTGTTGTCGTTTCTCACCCCTCTGACTTCAGCTTTCAGTTGTAAATATTTTGGGACGTTTGGGTTTAGTATTTGCACAGAATGTTGTGATTGTACCTCTTGGACCAGTCCCGAGTATGAACTTCGTCCCATAACAGGCAGGCTCTTGGATACGTATCTTTTACATGGATGCAAATGTAATCTTTTTCTCCAATCACATGTAAATGTAATTCAAGAGAGCCACTGCAGCAGGAATGTCTTGAATAACTCAAGTATCTGCTTTGCAAGTTCAATCTGCTGTCTTGTTTCAGAGATGTGCTTGGTCTTGGGTTTTCATTGAAGAGATTTGAAAAAGCAGACCTCTGAATGGTGTTCCTTTAGAGGGTTATTCATCTCAGAAATACATCTGAGTTCTCTCAGAGTTCTTGACCTGGGCTTGTCTGCATTGACCAAGGTTTCTGTAACTGATGAGTCTTTCTTCGGTTTCCTTGTCCGAACAGTAATGACTTTTTTGTTCCTTGGTTTTTTCACAATGAACGTGAACCTCACAGTAACCAATAACAGAACTCGTCTCTGGTGCCATCTCATAGAATGGTTCTTGAAGCTCACACTGTTGGCATGCTTAGTTTTTTTTGTTTTTTTTTTAGGTTTTTCCATTACAAGATAATTTTGACCATGTACAGTATATTTGTAAACTTGCATCAAGTTTATGAATAAAGAATTTTATGAGGAGCCTTTTTGGGGTATCTGTGAGTGATCTGATTGATGCATTTACTCAAATTTTTTCTCTTCTGTGTCAGTCTTCACGAGAGTACACAATACAAGCATGTGGTTCTGCTGACGCAGGAGATGTTCTGACGTAGAACCCGGATGTGCTACACATTGTTTGCAAGCAGAGGAATGCACACGCATGGGTCGTGGAACTGTTGTGAATGCACATCGAAGACTGACACGGAGAAGAAATTGTTGAATAAAGTCGTTATTTTTGGGGGGTTTTTGCGCACAAAAAGTATTCTCGTAGCTTCATAAAATTACGGTTGAACCACTGATGTCACATGGACTATTTTATAGTTGTCCTTACTACCTTTCTGGGCCTTGAACGTGGTAGTTACATTGCTGTCTATGCAGGGTCAGAAAACTCTCTTGATTTAATAAAAAATATCTTTGTGTTCTGAAGATGAGTGAAGGTCTTACGGGTTTGGAACGACATAAGGGTGAGTAATTAATGACAATTTCATTTTTGGGTGAACTATCCCTTTAAAAACATTATCCCTGACAGCTACAAGATTTGGTACTGTTAGTAAGAATTGAGTTATACTAAAAGTTATATAGCTGTGATATTTGATCTGTGCACATATTTGAGATCATAAGAGCTAGTAACTGATAATTTTAACACTCTTGATGTCTTTAAATATCATCCAGCCTTTGACAGTGTAAATCTATTTATGGCACTATTGCTGTTGACACGTTTTTTAAATCATAGGATGCCAGGTATATTTGTAGTATTTTGAGCTATTAATGAAAATGTAAGAAGTTAAAATTGCAATTGCAGGTTGCAACTTCCTTAGTTTTAATCGTAGTTAGTTTGTCAAAATGGAAGATTATATGAATTGAATTATAATTCTTCCTTACCACATGGGGTAGCTGTTTGCCATTTTTGTGTGCTTGCAGTTCCTTCTCTAATTAACAATGAGACCAAAAGTTTGCATGCTCTAGGCCTATTATAAGTTGCAGTACAATACAAACTTTATTATTTCATTTTATTGTTTTGTATTGCAATGAATATTTTATGTTTGCTTATGGTCACTGGAATGCTTAAGCTAAAGTCATTGGCGATGGACCATTGACACTGGTATTCAAATCCACGACTAGAAAATTAATACATCCATTTACTGTATAACTGAGCATTAAGATAAATAAAAGTTGCATGAGATGATAATGATAAATAAAAGATAAATGAGAATGGGTAGTTATGTATTTAGTAATGCACCTGCATTGTTGTCATGCTGTCAACTTTCAAATGCTGTTTAATTTTCTCTGACCCACAATATAAAGAATGCATTAAAATTATTCATCAGTTTTTATTTATTTATTTATTTTTGCAAAATGTAATTTTGTAATGTAAATGTAAATTTTTGCAAAATGACATTTACAAAATGTCATGGAATCCTTCAAGTTAAATTCCTTCTGCGTAGGTCTTGTTTTAACTCGAGCAAGGCAATGTACATTTAAAGCACATGACACTAATGTTATGCAATGTCCTTTTACAAGCAGAACAGAACATGCACTGCTATTTGTCTTGTGAAATTTTGTGTTTTATTGAGTTTTATAGGCACTAATTAACTTTTTGCCCACATTTGGACAGGCATTAAGTGACTAGTAGTATAGTGTCAGTTTTTTCCACCTGGTAATCTAACACTTCATAAAAATCTTCATAAACAGAGTTAATTACTTATACATTGTGTTAACCAAGAAGAATCAATCTTAGCTCAGATTTCCTTTCGTTCTTTCTGCCTGTTACATAACTGACTCGAACAATAACCCGTTTAGTTCACTTCTCCCCTGGAATGCTGTTAATGGTGGGAGTGTAACATGATCTTCAGCCTTTACAAATCCAGACATTTAATCTTGGATATCATGTTGACATCTAGCGTGTGTAGCGCAAAATCGAAGAATCTCCCTTTTTAAAATTTCATTAAAAGTAAAATATAAGAAATTCCTGTAATTCCCTCATGATGTTTGGCTGGTTATAGAAAAATCATAGTTTCAAAGCAGGGTCCAACGATCTTTGACTGCTATTATCGTGGCATTATTTAACTGGCCTGCCTAAAGGAACCTGATAGGCTTTTGCTGTGCTCACTCATTCAAAGGAACCTTTCACCTAAATGCAGTTGAAACGCTTGTAAACGTTGCACGATAAATCTGTTGAAGGTTTTGGATGCTACACTGTGCTGAGGTAAATTTTGAGGAGTAGTTGCAGGTTGTCAGGTGAGGTTTGAAATATTATCAAAATATAATTCTATGAAAATAGGATTTGATCTGGCAAAGTTCTTTCGTCATCGGTCTATAGATCAGATTTCAGATTTAAATTCTGCATCGTTTATTATGTAATATTTATTGCTTCTATATTATTTATTGTTTACTTTGTTAAACTAAATTCAACTTTACAGAACTTTTTCCATTAAAAGCGAAAATTGTATAAACCAGCTGTTAAAGTAGCCAGCAATTAGGTTTTCATTTTTTGTCATTTTCGTTTTTGCTCATGAAAACGGTGTTCAAAACCAAATTACACATTGTTGATTTCAGAAAATGTCAAAAGAATGTGATGTTTTTACTAAGAGGTGAATGTACACATTGCAAGGTATTGTTTTAGCATGTACTGTGAGCTTTTTTACAGATGTTGCAGCATGTGTAGTGAGGTATTGCATAACGTTGACATTTAGGAAGCTCTCAGCATGTAACACTACTAAACAAATAGAAAGCCGATTCAGATACTACTCATGTGCAAGGTGAGAACCTTTTACTTTTTTCCTGAAAATGTGGCCTATGCCACACACATGTACATCAGACTACTTTGTATTTAAGTGTTGTTATAAATTAAATGGTTTTTACAAGGTACAGGTTTGATGCCATGAGTCAAAATTTTACATGCACTTTGCCATTTCTGCAAAATGTTAATTATTTTACCAAAATAAGAGGGATCATACAAAATGCATGTTCTTTTTTATTTAGTCCTGACCTGAATAAGATATTTCACATAAAAGACGTTTACATACAGTCCTTATGAGAAAATAAGTTGAATTTATAAAAAAATAACCCTGTTCAAAAGTTTACATACGCTTCATTCTTAATACTGTGTTGTTACCTGGATGATCCACAGTGTGTTTGTTTTTATGTGATAGTTGTTCATGAGTCCCTTGTTTGTCCTCAACAGTTAAACTGCCTGCTGTTCTTCAGAAAAATCCTTCAGGTCACACAAATTCTTTGGTTTTCAATCATCTTTTGTGTATTTGAACCCTTTCCAACAATGATTGTATGGTTTTGAGATCCATCTTTTCACACTGAGGACAACTGAGGGACTT